ACCCCTTAGCAGCTTATTGGTTAAAGGACTTTGGAGTCAAGATACACCACTCATTAAATGTTTCAATGAGATCCACCCTCTCATGCCTGGTTTGCAGTCTTGTTAGCCCTGTGGCCTTAAAGCGTTCCTGATACGAGAGATGGTCTAATTCAGGAATGAGTTTTGTTGCTCGACGTTGCACCTTCTGCAGAGCAGCTATGTCCCTCTGAAAATGAGGTCTCCATGCTTGGATACAGTAATCCAAATGGGGGCATATCAGAGAGTTATACAGTTGAACCATTACCTTCGTTTCCTTATAGCCAAAATTATGCTTAATTTTTTCTAAAAGTTTGGTTAGCTTTTCTGACTGCTGCACCCTCGTGTTGTGAAACTTTTAATGAGTGGTGGATTTTGACTCCAAGGTCCTTTCTTTCATCAATCTGCTGTAATGTAATGCTATTAATTAGAGAGTTTTGGCATGGATTGTTATGCCCCGCATGCATGGTCTTGCATTTGTTGATATTAAAAAGCACGTGCCAGTGTTCTGAGCATATGTGGAGTTCATGTACAAGCCTCTTTGTACAGCTTCAATATCATTATAATTTCCTACTCTACCATAAATCTTTGTGTCATCTGCAAATTTGATTATGTGGTTTGTAATATTTTCATCTATGTCATTGATGTATATGACAAAAAGAGTAGGTCCCAAAATGGACCCTTGTGGTACCCCACTTATTTCTCCATTCAGATTTGTTTCCACTTAGCAGACCCTTTGTTTTCTTTCTTTCAAACATTGTTTTATGCATTCTAATATTTTACCATTTATTCCATTGGTCTGTAATTTCCTTGCCATTTTTTCATGGCAAGACTCTTGCCGTGCAAACGCTTATCAAAAGCTTTAGCAAAATCCATATGTACTACATTCACCGGAAGGCCTCTGTCTGAGTAGCTAATTACTGTTTCCAAAAATGTGAGCAAAGTTTGTAATGTAAGATTTGTTTGAACAAATCCATGTTGTGTCAATTGTTCAAGATTGTTAACTGAAATATGGTGAATGATTCCTTCCCTGAGCTTGCAAATGTGTTATGTCAAGCTGATCAGTCAGTAGTTTTCTGGTGAGCTATTTTTTTTTTTTTTTTTAAATATGGGTGAGATTTGCATATTTCCAATCTAGAGGGATCACGCCTTGGGCCAGAGATTTTGTGAAAAGTAGTTTCAGCGATTAGCATAGTTCTTCTGTCTGCTCCTTGACCCTTAGACCGTGCAATACATACATATATGATTTGGCAAAAAATAATTTAAGATAAGTTTTTAAAACTTGCTCAAACACTTTCCAATTTTTTTTTTGCATAATCAACTAGGCAAATGCTCCAACTTTGTCTAAATGATCACAGCGTAACTTGAAAAACCAGAGAATCAAAATTAATTTTAAAATTGAATATTGAAAACTTCAGATTTTCAATTCAGAATAAAAAATATGAACTATCATTAATTGTTCATTTAATGTTATTATTCTCTCAGAAAAGCATATGATCTTCATTTTCATTAAATTAGAATACTGTAAAAAGGCCTTCAGAGGGCCTTGGTACATTTTCATATTACATTTTCAGACTTAATTTACACACAAATTCTTCGTACTTATACTCTATTGGATGAGATGATATGGTACAAAAGTTGTGGGTGAGGTGACAAACACAAGACAGAACACGAAACAATGGATATAAATTGGATAAGTGAACATATGAATGAAAGTAACTGCAGAAGGTCTATTGGCCCATACTTCCTCTTGCTGCTTCCATATTGGTTCGGGGTCTTGAAGTAGGTAGAATATAGTTGTGCATTAATTGTCTGTTGATTGTTTGTCACCTCACCCAAAACTTTTGTACCATATCACCTCATCCAAAAGAGTATAAGTATCTTATACCCGCACTGGGTCAGGTGAATATATATTCACCTGGCCCAGTGAATAAACCCTGACCCTGCGGGTATAAAATCAACCAAACCTGAAAGTTCTTTTCACTTGAGAATGAACATGGAGGTTCGAAACGTTGTGCAAATTGTATAAATAAGTGTAATACATTCTATAGTAATTCACCTCTCTTCTTCACCTTGAAATTACGAAAAGGAGTTTTGGAGAACTCCTATTTCAGCTAAGTCCTGATGCTAAGAAAATAGAGGGATAGAAGCCCTAAATCAGAAGATAGTAAATACAGAATATGCGGTCATATTCAATGAGACATGTTTGAAAGAAAACCTGCTGCCAGTATACACTAATATATATAAGTGGAAATATTAATTTGTTCACAGTCGCTTATCTCTGAAAGTTTTTCACTGATTGCTTTGAAATTTTCACACAATGTTCCAATAGCATCCGAGCGGGATTGTATATACATACTATATTGATGTCACATCTGAGACAAAAAACATGCTTCCTTTTGAAAACTGTGTTTTTCTTGTGAGAGAAATCTTCGAAATCTCTTTACCGATTGAAAGTTTGACACTGCATTGCATTCAAATAGGCGCGTGTTTTTATATGCCTACTATATACATGCCTCACCTCGGCAGATTTTTTTTTTTTTAAACAGTGCGAGCTGTTGGACGTAAGAGCAATACATGCTGTAATCTCCCAGAGTTCTTCACCGATTGCTTTGAAAATCTGACACAACGTTCCATTCGAAAATGCGCGTGTTTTTATATACCTACTATATAGAGGCCACACCTGTGACAGGTAAAAACATGTTTTTTTTTTAAACAGGGCCATCTGTTGCACATAATAACAACACACTCACCATATTAGATATGTTAAGATTTCCATTTCAATGTTTTCGATTACATTGATAAATTTAACCCTTAGACTGTGCATGGCGTATATATACGTCATGAGTAACATGTCCCACTGTGTGCATGGCGTATATATACGCCAAAGGTTGCCAGTTACGATTCAAATGTCCCACGGTGTAAAGGGGTCGCCCATACCATAGCCAGGGGCGATTGTAAATAAACGCCATCCTGAAAAAAATCTAGTGCAGTCCTCCTTTGTTTCCCAGTCCTTAGTTAGTGGCCAAACACCATGGTGACCGCATCACAACCCAGCGTCCGACCTCGTTCAGCATACCGTGCCACACAGTCTTTGACCGAAGACGAAATAGCCAATGAATTGTTCAAAGACGTTGACGAATCTGATGTTGACGACTCGGATATAGATGAGGACTATACACAGCCTGAGGAAATAGAAACTATGGATAGTGAGGGTGAACATGTTGGTGCCACGAGGGTGAGGATGCCACGAGAGTCACCGCTACTACTCAACACCACTCGCGCCCAAGCACATAGTTCATGTGTTCTATTGCAAGATTATGATATGATCGACGAGTCTGAAACAGGTGAATCATTCTCTGGTTTTAGGTATGTAGAATCGGAGAATAGTTTTGCCACGCCTGCAGTGCCAGTACAAATTTCGCCGCATCACCTGCCCGCCCAGCCAAGCGTCGCCACATGGTATAAAATGACGACAATAAGGAACAAATTCCCTCATCTTCCAATACTTTTCCCTCATCGACCCTTCCTACCCCTACTGTTGCTAGACCTGCTTTAGCTCCTGGTCCCCGGATTCCTTGCCGTGGTGCAGCTAATGGCTCTCAGAAGACAACAGGTTTATTTGTGTGGAGTGATGGGGTAGATTTTGTACCACAAATTCCCGACTTTGACAATAGAGATGTGGGAATTACAGGTCTTTTCTCTAATACAGGTGACGTATGAGTGAAATGGACTTCTTTACTGCATATTTCGATGAGCCGATGAACCGCTATTGTTCACGAAACGAAAAGACTTGCAGCTGATCTCATTGAAGGTGAGGAGGTATCAGAATTTTCACGACTACAGCGTTGGAAAGAGACGACTGTATGTGATTTTCGCAATTTGTATGTTGATGAAACATTGTGTGAAATACGTAATATCACATTATTGGAGCAAAGACAACGCTGTTCCAACACCATTGTTCGGGGGAATATATGTCCCGAGACAGATTTCTGTTGATCCTACGGTGCCTTTATTTTGTAAATAATGCAGACGAGAGACAGGATAATAGGCTTTGGAGGGTGAGGTACGTGCTAAATGACCTGATTGGAAAGTTCAGAGATTACTTTGTACCAGCTCAGAAGCTGGTTATTGATGAATCCCTTGTGCTTTTCAAAGGACGTGCTGCCTTCAAGCAGTATATTCCCTCAAAACGCCACGGATTTGGATTGAAATTCTTTGTGCTCTGTGCCTGTGAATCAGGAATGGTGTTGCACATGATACTGTATTCCGCTACAAATGTAGACATTCCTGCTAATGACCATCATGGTTTCTCAGGTAGTGTGGTGAAGGCACTGCTTGCACCATATCTGAACAAGTGCCACATATTGTACACAGATAACTATTATACCAGTCCATTACTAACCAAATTCTTGCTTGATAATAAAACTGGAGTGTGTGGCACAGTAAAGCCAAAAGGAAAGGAATTTAAGTGCCTGTGTTTGACACTGCTATGCAAGTAGGTGATTGCGAGGTAAGAAAAAGTGGTGCAATACTTTCAGTGCGGTGGAAAGACAGACGTGAAGTGAACATGTTGACCACCATTCACCCTGGTACAATGGTAGACAGTGGCAAGGTGAACAGAACAACAAAGCAAATAATATATAAGCCAGATTGTGTGATGGACTACAACATCAACATGCGTTTAGTTGATAAGTGTGACATGATGGTGGGTGCTGTAGAGTGTGTACGGAAAACAGTGAAGTGGACAAAGAAAATAATTTTCCACCTTATTGACATAACAATGCTGATCAGTTACGACATGTATCTTGTGAAAACAGGTAAAAAAACATATTTCCGTTCATTTAGTTTTCAAGTTGTGAAACAGTTACTAGGTACGTTTGGCAAAGACACACCTGGCATACAAAGATCCATTCGAGACCCAATATTGAACCATGCTCCTGCACCCAGGCTCGCTTACAGGGAGGCCTTTTTGGTACACCAAATCAAGAAATTACCACCAACTGGAGCATGTGCAGCAGGCCAGCGTCGGTGTGTAGTGTGTTCCAGCACCAAAATGAGGCCACAGGAACATAAATTGGTGTTAACATGGTGCGAAGTGTGTGCAGTCCCTTTGTGCTATATCGACTGTTTTGCACAGTATCACAGTCTCCAGAACTACTAAATGTGTAATACTTCTGTAAATAAATGTACATATCAAGTTAATTTTAGTGTTTATATTGAAAAAAAAACAAATACATTGTATATTTCCTGTAAACTATAATATTTTGGTGGGCATACTTGTGACACTAATATGTGAGCGTGTAGTGAGTTTACACCAGTTTTAATATAATACAACGTTTAGTGATAATAATTTGAACAATACTAGCGAAAAAAATTATTGTAAAATATGACAAGAATACTGTAAATAATGCCGCAAAAATAAATTTGCGGCAACTCGGGCCTCCTGAGTAGCCGTTAGTGATGGCTCCCTGACGCATCACCCTCGAGCGCTCACTCTCTGTGACGTCATCGACCAACTTGTCGGCTCAATTACGTAATTGGTAAGTACAATAGAATTTTTTTATTATTTTTCCTGTGCTCAAGGGACACAAATTAACATGTTTAGAAGACGAAAAAGAATTTTAGATTTTTTTTCTTTCACACGGGTGTAATGTCGTCAGGATCCCTTAGCAGCCTAAGGGTTAATTTTCATAGATTTTTATTTTTTTTTTATTTTGAGTGAATTATTTTGTGTGACATTGTGTTGGAATTGAGCTGTGTTATTTACCATACCCTTCATTTCGTAAGTATAAGTATAGATGCCACACTTATGACAGGTAAAAACATTTTTTTTTTAAGAAACAGGACCATCTGTTGCATGTAAGAGCCACACACGCTATACTAAATATGGTACGATTCCATTTAAATGTTTCCGATTTCATTGATAAATTGAATTGTCATAGATTACAATTTTTTTCATTTTGATTTAATTAGTTTGTGTGACATTGCATTGGAATTGAGCTTTGTTGTTTACCATACCCGTTCATTTCGTGAGTTTCGTCAGTATTGTTTATTTTTTTATTTTTTCATTGTTTTTCATTTCATTTTTAATTGATTTTCTTATATTTCAGTGATGGGAACATCAGATCATTTGATGTTCCCAATTTTCTGATGGAAACATCAGATCATTTGGGAATGCATCGGACGAGGGAGTGGGGGATGGTGGGGAGGTCGACGGGACAGGAGGAAAGGGTAATGGTGAGGAGAACGAGGGGACAGGGGAGATGGGGACTAGGGGACAGCTAGGGGAATGGATATTGGTGGGAGTGGACAAGGGAACAGTTAAGTGGGGGATAGTGGGGAGGACGAAAGGATTGGGGAGAGGGAGAATTACCATTCTGAGAGGATGAGGAGATGGGGGAGTGGGAATGGTTGGGAGGACGAGGGGACAGGGAAGTGAGGAATGGTTGGGAGGATGAAGGGACAGGGGAGGGGGAAAAAGGGGGGTGGACTGGGAGACAGGGGGGAGGGTTGCTGTTGCATAGCAATGCACATGCGTTGCTGAGCCACAGCAATGCGTGGCCGGATACAGCTAGTCTATATAAATAAAAATGGAAATGTTTGTTTGTTCAAAATCGCTAATTTCCGAAAGTACTACACTGATTGTTTTGAAATGTTCACACAACGTTCCATTCTCATCGGAGCATGTTTTTATATACTTACTATATATAGATGTCACGTCTGTGATAGGAAAAAACATGCTTTTTCTGAAAAAACTGTGTTTTTGCATGTGTTTTTCATGTGAGGGAAATCTTCGAAACCTCTTTACCAATTGCTTTGAAATTTTGACAACGTTGCATTCAAATAGGCGCGTCTTTTTATATATCTACTATATACATGCCTCACCTGTGACAGGAAAAAACATGTTTTTATTTTTAAACAGCGCCATCTGTTGGACGTAAGAGCAACACACACTGTAATCTCTGAAAGTTCTTCACCGATTGCTTTGAAATTTTGACATAACTTTGCATTCGAATAGGCGCATCTTTTTATATACCTGCTATATAGATGTCACACCTGTGACAGGTAAAAACATGCATTTTTTTAAAAACAGTGCCATCTGTTGCACATAAAAGCAACATGCACGCTATACTATATATGTCACGAATTCCATTTCAATGTTTCCGATTGCATTGATAAATTTCCTTTTCATACATTTCGATTTATTTTATTTTTTTATGGAATTACTTTGTGTGATATTGTGTTGGAATTGAGCTATGTTGTTTACCATACCATTCATTTCGTTAGTATAAATATAGATGCCATACCTGTGACAGGTAAAACTACGTTTTTCTTGATAAACAGCATCATCTGTTGCATGTATGAGCAACACACATGCTGTACTAAATATGTTACAATTCCATTTCAATGTGTCTGATTGCATTGATAAATTGAATTTTCATAGATTTTGAATCATTTTCATTTTGATTTAATTATTTTGTGTGAATTGCGTTGGAATTGAGCTGTGTTGTTTACTATACCGTTCATTTCGTGAGCATAGTTTATTTTTTTATTTTTTCACATTTTCATTTCATTTTTTAACTGCTTTTCTTATATTTCAGTGATGGGAACATCAGATCACTTGATGTTCCCAATTTTCTGATGGGAACATCAGACTATTTGGGAAGGCATCAGACGAGTGAGTGGAGAATGGTGGGGATGACGAAGGGACGGAAGTGGGAGATTGTGGGGATGACGAGGGGTCAAGAGTCGAGGGGGTAATGGCGGGGAAGGACGAGGGGACGGGGGAGTTTGCGATGGTGGGGACGAGGGGATGGGGGAATGGAGAATGGTTAGGTGGACTGGGGGACAGGGAAGATTGCTGTGGCTTAGTAACGCACATGCATTCCTGAGCCACATAAACACTTGGCCGGGTACTGCTAGTATATAAATAAAAATTTAAATGTTCGTTTGTTCAAAATCGCTAATCTCCGAAAGTTCTTCACCGATTGTTTTGAAATTTTGACACAATGTTCCATTTGCATCCGAGCGTGTTTTTATACACGACTATATAGATGTCACGTCTGAGACGGGAAAAAACGTGCTTTTTTGAATAACTGTGTTTTTCATGTGAGGGAAATCTTCGAAACCTGTTTAATTATTGCTTTGAAATATTTACATAACGTTGCATTCGAATTGTCGCGTGTTTTTATATACCTACTATATTCATAGCTCATCTATGACAGGAAAAAACATGTTTAAAAATAACAATGCCATCTATTGGACGCAAGTGCAACTCACGTTGTAATCTAAGAAACTCCTTCACCAATTGCTTTGAAATTTTGACACAACGTTCCATTCGAATACGCGCATTTTTATATACCTACTAAATAGATATGATAGGTAAAAACATTTTTTTTTAAACAGTACCATCTGTTGCATGCAATAGCAACACACACGCTTTACTAAATATCTTACAATTCCATTTAAATGTTTCCGATTGAACTTTGATTAAAATATGTTGTGAGACACTGCTTTCGAATTGAGCTGTGTTTTTTTTTATCATATTGTTCATTTTGTGGGTATAGTTTTTTTTCATCTTTTTTATCTGTTCTACTTATTTTTCAGTGATGGAAACACCAGATCATTTCATGCTCCTATTTTTCTAATGCTCCTGGCAGTATGGGTTCGTCACTTCTAGGGTGTGAGTTTTCGATTATATATATATATATTATATATATATTATATATATATATATATATATATATATATATATATATATATATATATATATATATATATATATTATATATTATTAAATTAAATTTCAGAGTAATTAAAATTTCATTGTTTATACACTTGTGTTTTTGTGTGTCTTCCCATTACCCTACCACAGACGAAAGGACAAACTTCTATTTTTTTTTGTTATGTGACGAGCCCTGCCCCCAGCTTTTGAAACAGCCGAACACCAACGCTTTACCGTCACATTACATACATAAATAATATATATAATATATATATATATATATATATATATATATATATATATATATATATATATATATATATATATATATATATATATATATATATATAATATATATATATATATATATATATATATATATATATAAATATATAAATAATATATATTTATATATTTATATATATATATATATATATATATATATATATATATATATATATATATATATATATATATATATATATATATATATTTTTATATATATATATTATTTATATATGTAATGTGACGGTAAAGCGTTGGTGTTCGGCTGTTTCAAAAGCTGGGGGCAGGGCTCGTCACATAACAAAAAAAAAAAGAGAAGTTTGTCCTTTCGTCTGTGGTAAGGTAATGGGAAGACACACAAAACACAAGTGTATAAACAATGAAATTTAATTACTCTAGGAAACAAGACATGAATGAAGACAAAGTCAACAAACAAAACAACATGAATAATTACTGGCAATGAAAAGTTACTCTAAGACCAGAATGCAAAAATAGTGATAGCAATAAATGAGGTGCTGGAATACTGGCTTCAAGCTGCCACCTCCCTTATTACACGAAAGCCAAGGCTTAGTCTACTAGCGAGAGATGTCAACTCCATGGAGCACAGAGATATTCTGACGAGTACGGCGTGCTGCTGCCCAGACGACGACTCTTGGTGGTGGCGTGAGTGCAGGTGCGGCGAGACACCAGCCAATCAGCAACAGGCATGCAGAGGATGAGCAGTTTGCTGGTTACGGCGGCTGTAGCAGTGTCGGGGTGTGCATGGTACGATTTGCTTCCTGGGCAAAACGTTTGGCGATACTGGTGGACGTATCTTCAATATAGTATCTTGTACTTTAAAGACGTAATGATGTAGGGAAGAGCAGGCTCAATCTCTCTTGAAAGATATTATCGTCACAATATATATATATATATATATATATATATATATATATATATATATATATATATATATATATTATATATATATATATATATATATATATATATATATATATATATATATATATATATATATATATATATATATGTCGTACCTAGTAGCCAGAACGCACTTCTCAGCCTACTATGCAAGGCCCGATTTGCCTAATAAGCCAAGTTTTCATGAATTAATTGTTTTTCGACTACCTAACCTACCTAACCTAAACCTAACTTAACTTTTTC